AAAAAAAAAAAAAAAAAAAAAAAAGAAGCAATTCTAAGTAGATTGTTAAGTATATTGTAATTCTTAGAGTAACCATTAAAAAAAAATACACAGATACAGTAAGAAAGATAATAAATAAGTTAAAATGGAATACTAAAAAATGTTCAAATACTCCAAAAGAAAGCAGGAAAGGAAAACAGAGATCAGTGAGAACAAACAGGAAACACATCCTAAAACAGTAGACCTCAACCCAACATTATCAATAACAACATTAAATCAAATGGCTTAAACATACCAAATAAAACAGTGTGTCAGAAAGAATTTTTAAAAACCCACCTGATGGGATAATTTATATCCAAACCTCAGCATCATGTGCTATACCCATGTAACAAACCTGGATGTGTGCCCCTGAATCTAAAATTAAAGTTGAAATTTTAAAAAACCACCCACCAACCATGTGCTATTTACAAAAAACCCACTTTAATGCTCACCTGATGGCATCATTCATGCCCCAAACCTCAGCATCAGGTATTATGCTCATGTAACAAACCTGCATGTGTGCCCCGAATCTAAAATTAAAGTCTAAATATAAAAAAAAAAAACACCTACCAACTATGTGCTATTTACAAGAAACCCACTTTAAATATATGTCGTAGGTAGGTTAAAAATAAAAGGGTGGAAAAAGAAACACAAATCAAAAGAAAGTCATAGTAGCTATATTATTTTCAGATAAATAGCTGAAAGGAGATACAGACAAATATACATTATAATTGGAGACTTCAACACTCCTCAGCATTTCACATAAAACAGAGAGAAAATGAGCAAGAATATGGAACTGAATCCTACCATCAAACAAACTTGATCTAATTGATTTATTTCTAAAATACTCAACCCAACAATAGTAGAATATACATTCTTTTCAAGTATACATGAAACAAGATAGATCATACCCTGAGTCATAAAACAAACCTTAACAAACTATAAAAGCAGCAAAATACAAACTATGCTTTCTGACTGTAATGACATCAAACTGGAAATCAAATAACAGAAAGAGAACCATAAAACCTCCCAACACTTGAAAATACACTTCTATGTATTCAATGCCAGAGAGGAAGTCTCAAGAAAAGTAAGACTGAAAATATTTTGAACTCAACAAAATGAAAGTAAAAAACATCAATTTGTGGGATGCAGGTAAAGTGGAGTTTAGGAGAAAATTTATAACTTTAAATGTTTATATTAGAAAAGGAGAAAGGTCTCAAATCAATAATCTAAGCTGAAGAAATCAGGAAAAGGGGTTAGGCCCAGTGGCTCACATCTGTAATCCCAGTGCTTTGAGAGGCTGAGTCAGGAGGCCAGGAATTTGAGATCAGCCTGGGTTACATGGAGAGACCCACCTCCACTAAAAACTTAAAAATTAGCTGGCTAACTGTTTACAATAGCAAAGACCTGGAACCAACCCAAATGCCCATCGACGATAGACTGGATAGGGAAAATGTGGCACATATACACCATGGAATATTATGCAGCCATCAAAAACG